AGAGGTACCCGAGTACCTGTGCTGTATCTCGGTTGTATGGGTACCGCACCCCTGGGACGTGGAAATCCATGGCATACGATAATACTTAGGTAGTTTACATTGCATACGCCCTGTTTGTGGGGATACTCGACTAGTGTTGGGAATTTGGTTGTTTTGTTTTTGTTTTTTTTGTGCACCATGGACGAAGACTGGGCTAATTGAGAATCTCACTAGGGCGTTAGAGTTTCCTTTCCTAATACTGGTAGGTTCTGTTGTATTTTTCTTTTTGCCTGTCCCAACCAGGGACCGAGAGAGAGCCTTCTCGCCGCTTTCCCCCTCCCCTTAATCCGAAGGGGGAAATTCTGGGCATGCCAGCGGTCATTCCCAGTTACCGGTACTCCAGTTTTTGTTTTTTACACTACGGTACGTGGGAACTTAAGCGAGTGGGGGGACAGAGTTGCTGGGCACACAAGGAAAAAGGAAATGTTTCGATTTCCACACGATGCAGGATCTCATTGTTTTTTGGGGGTCAGGCTGGAGGTGGGGGGTTTTTGCGGACAGGAAAGGCCGAGTGACGGCATGTGCTGAGGGGTAGACAATCAGGCTGACGGAAGGCTCACCTCTAGGCTGACCTAGGAAACGGGATCGGGATGGATCTCGGTATGTAGTCTTTACACGTCCAGGTTGGCTTTTGGACTAACCCCATTTGTGTTTCAGGGGGAGATGGTTAATATGCGCAGCGCCCGGGACCTTTTCCTATCGAGGCATTGGACTTTGACCAGAAGCGCTAAGCCCAGAACACGATTTCGACGGTCATTTTATTAATGGCAGTTACGGCATAGTAAGGGTAGAGTAACCTAAGTGTCGTAGAATCTAGGACTGTGTGGTAGAGACCCTAAAGAGAAATTTCAATATCACTTATAATATTAACCTGGAAAATAGCAAAGTTTCCTCTCTGAGAAATCCGCCGCTTTATTCCGTAGCATTTCCTCCTCTTATCGCATGCGCCACAGGTGAACCCAACAGTACCCATCCTGGCTCTGAAAACCACCACACAAATCCCCGAGTAGAAGATCTCAGACTCAGCATTCAGGTCCCAATTTTCCACGAAAACCTAATATTATCAACCAGGAGCAGTATCCTAACAATCAAAGAACTGGTCGCCAATACTACCCAGAGGAAAGGCTGAGATGAGAGTTTGGCCCCTCTACCAGAGGGCGGGGGTATTATAGCGATAAAAAATAAAAAAAGAGTAGTATGATAAGGCCCTGTTGACCACCCTTTTACTCAGACTAGAGGTCTGTAGGCCCCCTACCTCGCGGCCTTTGAACCAGCCTCGTAGGAACAGTCTCAGTAATAGCGGCAAGGCTGGGTAGGTTAATTCTCTTTTGGCATCGCGAGCTCGGGTTCACACCCTTAGCTATGAGGCTGACGCCCGACAGGCGAGAAAATCCTACCTATGCTCTGTGCATGGTATTCTCTCGGTGAAAGGTTATCAGTGCACTTTATGCACTACGAGAGCCTGGAGAAGCGGTGTATTTACCAGGCATGGTCCAGCAAATACTTACTGTTTTGTGAACAGTGTCTAACAAGTTAAGGTGCTACTGCCAGAGTGTGGGAAACTTAACGAGTGATACTGTATGAACGTGAATTCTCGTTGGTAATTGTTCATGCTGGAAGATCCACTTGCATAATAGGGTTAAATTTGGATATTCGGCCGGAATAATTTAGATGAGTCCTGGGAAAGTTCATTCCTTGTAACTTTACCGTGTGAGATGTTTTCGGAGCGGGCATACCTAGTGCTTTTCCCTATTGGTATAACTATGAACTAAAGGTGGATTACTGCGCTTTGGGGGGGGGGGGGGTGGTAGATATGTCATTGCTACAATGTCCTCATTGGATAAGTTTTCAGAATAGAAGGCTGTCTGGGCGAACCCATGGAGAAGGAACTTAGCGGTGGGGTGGCAAAGCGAGGGAATGGGAGGATGGGGTAGCATCATTTATCTCCAGACACCATTGACTCTAATGGCGGGAGGGCAGGCGTCGGGATAAAATAGAGAATGCTATCCCTAGTTTTTTTATTTTTATAGAGTTTGGATGGTCAAGGTAGAACTGATATGAGCTTCAGGTATTCTTGGACAAAGACTCGCATATTTAAGTCTAAATACTTAAAATATCTGCCCTTAGTGTTGCTTTGGTCTACCGCGATAGGGTACGAATGACTGGTGCATATGTTTAGTCAAGCAGCCTCTTGGAATGATATTCAATTCGGGTCCTATATTGTGATTCCCTTGCCCCGAGCACGGAAGCCTGCCGGCATTATACTAGATTTCTGATGGGGTTGTCCGGAAGCTTTGGGTCTGTCCGTCTATCTACTTATCATTGTATTTGTCCTGCAACGGTTCTTCAACATTTTATTTTATTTTTAGATCGATATTTAAAACAGAATTACAATCATATAATCCCCTCGCAATCAAGGAATAACAATGCAGAGGCCAAAGAGCTCTCCTAACCGTTTAGGATTAGAACCAGGGGTGGAGGGCGATTCGGGGCAACGAGTATCTGCGGTTTGGATCGATCCGTGGCTGTTCTGATATGGCAGTGCACAAGTAATTAATTACCAATGCTACCAGTTCTCTAGCGTGCCGGTATCATACGAGACCTATAAACCTATTATCCGACCATCCATTTTACCACAATATAGCTCTGGTCAGATGGGTCGTGACCATGCATGCAGTGGTATGATACGTTAACGCAGTCAATTGTCTAAAGGGGTGTTTGGCAGAAGTGATTATGATTCAAACCGCGATTTTGTGATTTCACATCATGTTTCTAAACCCTAAAATCACGTTTTCCCCAAATCATGATTTTGAAACAATATGATATCCTGCCAAACACCCTCTGATTTGGCCTTGATTTTTGATTTTATTTCAATTTTCTTATCTGATTGCCACCCCCCACCCCTCTCTTTCAATATATGTTATTATTATTTTAACTCTGTAGAAAATAGGGTGAAAACTTGTTCTGTGCTAAATATCCAATATCTATTTGGACCTTGAACATAACTGGTTCGAATCACACTTTCAAACCCCAAATCGAATCATGCTTTCAAATCGTAACCTGCAGTTGGCTTGCCAAACACCCCCTTAGCTATCTCGTGGACGTACGAATTCACGACTGTCTGCCCTTGTTTCCTAGGGTCCAGGTAGGGGCAAGAAGGGCCCGTTGCAACCCACACCTCTAAGATGGGGCTTTCCAATCGCCAGTGCTCTCAATACGGAAATACGTCCGTCTTGGTGGCTGGGCGCAGTGGATGACGACATGCCGTCCCGTTCGGTCATTTTCTGGATCCGCCAGGCCACATGGAGAGAAGAACTATGGTCCCGCCGTCCCCTACAAGAAAGCTCTCATATCATACTACGATTATATAGGGCCCGGATATCTTCACCCCCACCACCGGTCTGATGGGGATGAAGGTCACGGATAAAGAACCCGCGGATGACTACAGGTCTAAAAAAAAACAAAAAAACAATCGGCTTCTCTAACATATTGCTATATCCATATTGACCTGCATTACTTCCAATGTTTGGAGTTTTAAAGTCCACCGGGAGCGCAAACCCAATGAACCCCACTACCATACTCCCACGACTGTTAGCAACGCCGGGAGGGGAATTATAGGAAACATCTTGTCTTGGTGACCCGGGTAACATTTGATATAAATTATTCATCCTAGTCCCGCTGATCCCGCATATTTCTAGTGACAGAGACCCAACACTGTTAAAGTGGGAGAGGGCAATAATGAGTAACGCAAGCCGATCTCTGCAACGGGATCTTTATATCGGTTCACTCAGATATATTGTCCAATCGGGAAATTTTTAATATATTCTCTGGCTATTAACATAGAATTATACAGGGTCCTATCTACCCGTTTAACTGTACTCTGTTGCCCTTACGCTCTCCACACGCCGTTTGGTGGGCTTCCCACATTTCTCCAAGAGAATGTAAAGAGATGGCTCGGATAAGAATTGCATCAGTCTCCAAACGTCCCTCATAATTCATTGTGGTCCTGCCGGGGCCCCGGATGGTTGAGAACACTGCCAATAGCTCTGTAATTTGTCTAGTAGCCCCTCCCCGAAGCATCCCCATACCCCGAGAGTTTAAAATGGTCAAGTATCATAGTTTGTACCAATCGAACATTCCCGGCGATGGATGCAACTAAGAGTCACATTATCTCACTCGACTATACTGGTCACAAAGCGTTGTCTGGAATGTGCTGCACGTGCTAAGTGGCTAGCAGATTTCATTCCTGGGCTAGGAATGAAGCTGCGGGCTTGCATTCTCTGGTTAGGAATAAGTAAGTGGCTTGTGAATGAAGGCTGGTATGGAATGATGGCTGCGCTGGACTCGGACGCTCGCACACATAGTCTTTGTTTTGCTACTATTATTTGATCACCGAATACAGGATTGAATACTACTCTATTTAAGGTCCGCTTCAGTTTTCACAATGCTCGTATGCAGCTATGATTTCAGGATTACGAACGTCACGGCGAACAGTTTGAGCACCTGTTCCGATCAACAATGCTAGCTCTAGGGGGGTAAGTTGGTATACTTAGGTATATACTCCTGGTGAAAGTTGATAACCCGGGTGCTCTCAAAATGTTGGTGAACCTGAGATACCGACAAAAAAACAAAGCCAATCTATCAGAAATCTAAGACGACAGATCCACCCGCAGTGCCCCAGTTGCCCCAGAACCCATCTATCGACATCTAAGGCCTTTTGAGAGGGGGGTGGACCCCATTGTCAAAGTCTGTTCTGGTTGTTTTCTGATGCATGAAAAGGCCTTTGGTGTCCCAGTTCTTGATCTCACCGGGAGTACAACTGCACCCACTCGGGGGATAAATTGTCGTTTAAAATAGAACGCTATCCCCTACGAAGCGAGGAACAATTCCCGACCTTACCATCTTCCTGGGTAAGTACAAAATCAGGACAAAGAATGATAAGTGGGACCACACCAGAGTGACTAGACCAATGATATATTAAAGAATTAGGCAGTAAAGCCAGAATAGTAGAAGTAAAAAGGAAGCCGGGAAAGCTGTCACGATATACATGCTTCATTGGCTATACTCTTAAGAGTTATGACCCAACCAGTGGCCATCTGTGATATATACAAGATGAAATAAAAACTATAGACAAGAAACACCACACTGGACCAACAATCGGCAGATACATCATTCCTCTAGATTCCGTATTCCGTACCCGTAAATACCGCGCTTATATCTGCCAGCTGGTGTACACTCAGGGACATCCGGACCCTTGGGGTGGGGCTGAGTGATGGTGATAGTCTCAACAGCGGAGACGGTCATAGTAAGGACTTGAGTGATTGCAACGGTCTCATAGATGGTGTTGACAACCGGCGCAACAGCAGTGGGGACGGCAGCGACTTCAGTGGGTGCAGGCGGGGCATTATCGAGTGGAGAGACCTCCTTCGGGGGGGCGTCAGCAATCGGGGTTGTATATGAGGGTTTGCTCTGGGAACGGGTGGTGTTGCCATATGGAGGGACGGCGGAAGGTGCGAGGGTTGGGATGCCGGATCCGGTGCCAGTGGGGGCTTTTGTAGGAGCGGGAGAGGCAGCCTTAGAAGGATTAACTGGAGCTGAAGCGCCACCCGGAACATAGGGAGCAGGGCCAGGAATAGTGTAGCTGGTGACGGGCGGGTAGTAGATGTTGAGGAGAACTCCGGGGTCGGTAGCAGAGTAAGCACCGGGGAACTTGACTGTGTCTCCTGGCACGGCGCTTCCAGTCCCGGTGATTTGAAGGTTAGCACACATGGGGTAGAATTGGGCGCCGTTGGGATTGCTGGCCGAATGGAGAGCGAGCAGCTCATGGCGGAGCAGGTAAGGACCTGAAGCAATATCGCTGGGGATAGTAACAGTCCAGGTTTTGTTGTCGGCGATCATGGTGTCTGAGGCCCAGGTTCCATCAGGGTTAAGACCTGCATGATCGATCTTGAACCAATCGAGAGTGGTGGGGTCCGCGGTGGTGCAGTCGGTGCCGGGGCACTTGGCGAGATAGGTCATGGTAGGGCCGCGGTGAGACTCGGGCCATGTGTTCCAGAAAAACTTGACAGAGGATCCGGCGGCAGCAGGGGCGACCAAAGCTCCAGCTGTAGACCCGGTGCTGCAAGCGATTGCGGCAGTGGTGACACCCTGTAAGATAGATGTCAATATCACCAATTCTAGCTGCGAATAAAATTGGAACGTACATCAACAGGACCATCACCAGGAGTAGTCCATCCAATCCTCTTAGGCTTGGGGTTCTGATAGGGATCGAGATTTGGGTTAAAGTTGTCGTACAGGGTTCCGTCAATCAACAACTGAGAAACCAATCCATGGGCCAAAGCACCAGCGGCACCAAGAGTAGACAAGATAAACGATGACTTCATTTCTCAATATTAGTCCGGAAGAAAGGAATGAACCGTTCAGCGAGAAGTGAAAGAGTGTAGTTGTTTCGCGGTTATTGGGAATGAAATCTTGGAACTTGTCGCAAGATTAATATGGGCTTCAAGCCTCAAAACCAGAAAGGAAGCGCCGGTGGGAAAGGACAAAAGAACGACAAGCGAATGTGAAGATTGAATTCGATAGGGATAGAAGTGAAGAGAGGGGGGCAAGAGGAAGCTGTTTTATAAATATTTTCCCTTTCCGCCCTATCGCCCATTTCCCCATCGAAAGTGGGGAGTCTGGTCGGCGCAGGACCATTGGGACAGGGTCAATGTGTTTCAACTCTTACGGATAATTGCATTCCTGGGATATGGATACCTGCAAACTAACATACAGGACTGAGCGGCACTGCGCTCGCCCTGGGTGTGAGGGGTTGATTGCCCTAGCCATTTTGAGTAAACGGATTTGGAAGGAGTCTTAAGCATCTCGGAATACTTCCACTTTTACTATTCTTGTCAATAGGGTTCAACTAACCTTAGCCACGTGCCTGGACTATCATCCTCTCCCGCGACTATACGAACAGTACGAGTATTCTGTGCAACAGCGCATGTACGAGTACTGTACTAGTACTTGTACCGTACCCGATCACAGGCTATCTCAGCCAAGTTAGTTGAAATAATTGCATTCGGCAGTTTATTCCTTGTCTATCCTCTTGTCGCCATTTAAGCTACCACGAGCACTAGGCATCAGTACCGTACTCGTACAGCTACAGTGCAGCACACAAACACCCAAGAACGAGATCTTAAACTCTACCCACAAAAACCGCCTACTTGGTCCGAAATTTCAAGATTAAGCGAAACTAAACTCACGTTGAAGATTTCTCGGTTGCTATGTACTGCACCGGTAGTCCAGGCACAACCCCACTACCGATCACAACATCCTATAAGCGAGGTCGCTACAGTCCGGTAGTCTCTGCAAGTACTAGTAGTGTCCCAATGCTGTTCATCTTCTACTCGAGTACTCGTAGACGGAGGTTTAAGCTTTCCTCGCCTAGTGAAACGCAAAACCGGGTATGGAGTTTCAAGCCACGATAGCCCATCCCTTCCATCGCCAAAATTTCCAGAAAAACTCCGCAACCGCTGGCTGAAGAAGAGGCTAACCGCACAGTTGCACACCGCCGCCGCCGTAAGTTAACAACAGCGCTATGGATAAATTCTGGATAACCGCTTCACAACTTACAAGTATTATATCGAATGGCAATTGCGCTCCGTGCTTAGTACGATCATACTACGAAAGAATGAAGATCCCAAAAGCTCAACCCCCCCTTAGCGAAGAACTTCCCATTTTTATCCCCCGCTGCGCTCCGGGAGGGGGGGGCGCCGGCGTTCCATAGTCCGTCCTGTGCTGCGGGCAAAAAGATCATGTTCACCAGGTCCAGAAAATACCGGTACCCTTCCGCAGCCGCTAACAAATTGCTGTACCGGTCCTAGAGTTTCAGACTGAGACCACATACCGCAGATCTCCTGTGCGCAACCACAGCTCAAGGGATGGGAATGCCGGAGGCGTGGCACCCATTTCTCTCCTAGTCGTCGCTGGTTTAACTGCAGAAATCTTGTTGAACCTTTTCTAAGTGTTACCGGTATACCAACATTCACATTCTGCACCAATGGTAGTATAGCCGACGAAAATATCCACAATGTGGACCCGTTAATACTGCAAAAACTCGTGAAATCCACCATCTCTTTCTACCTTGCAATCTCCGGATCCTGACCCAAAAACCCCGGAGAGGATTAGCGTTTTCCTGACACAGTATAAGATTAACCCTCAACAGAGGTTGGATCCCATTAACTGGTATTCGCAATTCTACTAACCCGTCAATCTAAACCTATGGTTAGTGGACAGGAGATTAACCCCTGCTATGGAGATAGCGGGATTCACGAGTTTTCACGGTACAGTATATTCTGGGTGAAAAGAAGCGTGTTGACCCCCTCCCCGCTCCATACCGTACCTCCAATGCCAAATTTACTCGGACATGCCCACCCTGAGGGGCGGCACGTATTAATTTAGGCCTACGCCGAACCGCTTATACTGTGCAATTTGTGAGAGCATCACAAGTTCCTGAAATTTGGCCCGCCAAAACACCTCCAGTGTAGCTTGCTGGGCTTGAAGACACGAGCACAGGCGCATGAGTACTACTTGTACCTACAATACCCCCGCTTGCACCGTAACCGGCACTCCACACTAGCACTCTAAAATTTTCTTGCACTCGAGTACCAGCGCCGATACTTCTACACCAACCATTATAAGTACTGTAAGATCGCTTCACATGCCCTATCAGAGCCCAGAGTCCGGCGTGAACTTGAAGGACTTACTCATGTCTGCAGGCAGGGGAGTGAAGCAGACGCCGAGAGTACATCCTAGTTCAACTACGACCTTGTGATGGGATCATCTGTAACCATACTCCACTTAAAAAAATCTACAAGATGTTCCAAGCCATGGTGGCACGTGGGAGTCACACAGCGTTGGAAAAACCTTTGCCAGACTAAAGAACCAATTCAACAGAGGGGAGAATTGTGAACTTGAAAGGGAGAAGGACAAGGCTTGCGAATTTTATTGCAGAATCCTACAAAAGAAGCAATGCAAGCACTGGGATGACTATCTTGCTAATCGTACTGTAAGAAGAATGATGTCTAGAATGCTAATGGGTTTATAAAGACAAGGCCTAAGGACAAGAGAATGGATGGCTCAAGGACACTAATAGAGGTAGACAAGATGATAATGAGGCATATCTTCCTCTCCAGCCCTGAGCCTACCTGTGCGGTCCTTCCTCAATTGCCATTCTGGTTTGAAGGGCGGCAAGGAAATTTTATATCAAAAGACGACCCACAATCAGCTCGCTACCGCCATGCCCCGATGCTCCACCCCCCTGATATTGTGTGCTGGGGTTTTTATGTTCTAACCTAGTTGTATACGTATACAGAGATTGTGCCGGTGCTCTAAAACAATGGAAGAAAACAACAAAAAAATTCTTGGCCTCTGAGAAACAAGGAACTGCCATTGAAATTTCTTTCCAAGGTCTGTGCTCTACCCCAGAATGCCCCACTCTCGGGAAACACCAGGTCCCCGCCAAGGAGGCGAGAATCATTTGGACTGTTCAGTGTCGCCGAACTGGGGTTACTCTACGAGCAAAGGGGTACAGCTCTCAAGTTTTGTATATTTTACTACAATAACAAGAGGTGCTCAGCTAGCTTGTGTATCGGCGACGAATTGGGTAATTTTCCGAGAAAGCTGCCCAATCCGTGGTAAAATTTTCCAAATTCGCATCAGGTACGAGTACTGTACTATACTAATACCCCAGCTAGCCGCGCACCCCCTTCCAGGTAAAATATACAGAAAACCTAGGAGCTGCACCCCCGTACTACTCGTAGTACGAGTACAGCACCGGTACTGGCACTTGACAATTCATAAAGGACCGGTATCAGGCTACGCTTAACGCCAAGATCCGCGTATTTAGGTGCAAATCCTGCCATCTTACCGCCAAGGCACCCGGATACCTGTTTCATACAGTAAAATCTCGTGAAGGACCACCATCTCCAGCAGCCCGCCATACCACTACAGGTTTGGTTTGGCATGTTAATAGAATTGCGAAAATCGGTTAGCGAGACCCAACACACCTGGCCGGCCGATCTTTTACTGTATCGAGAAAACGCTAGTCCTTCTCAGGGGGCTGACGGAAATAGTTGATTTCACGAGATTTCGCGGTACCGGTACTTGTTCTCGCACTGCCGGTAAGTTAGTAAAGTTAACTTGAAATGCCAAGTGCTTGAGGAAGTCCAGCATGCTGTGGCACACCTACTACCTGTACTCGTACTTGTACGGTACTCGTGCCGTACCTACCTACCGGTATTTCGGGTACACTAGCCATCCCAACTGACTCCTCACAGCCAGTTTTAATCTGTATTGAGTTGGCGTGTTCTCAGATCTCCTTAAGACTTCGGATAAACTTAAGAGTAAGTCACAAGTACTCTCGCTTAAAACATTTGCTCGACGAGTGATGAGTCGTGAGAGTTCGGGGCAACGGTCCAACCTTGGTCTGCCAGTACCGGTACCGTAAATTTAGAATTACAGTTTATCATACGTACTCAAGCGCGATTCATCGGTATCTATTAGGGAGAAGAGGGAAAAAAAAAAAAGACCCAAGATTTTCCGAAAATACCTGAAGCAGGAAACTCTCTCGCTCAGATTCGGAATACTTTTATAAGCCATCGTAGCCGCCCGATTCCGGCATTCCGACCGGGCGTTTAAAACAACCACTCCAGAGGTACGGTAGCCCGCTGCTCTTTGATGATTTACAGAAATTTTGAAACTCAAAAAAATAGAGATCATGGCGCGGTTATATCTAAGGTAACCCTCGCGAACACCGTCTTCCGATACCAGCTCGGATCACATGAGGGAGATCGAAATTGCCCACCATCAAAGTCCGATGACTAAACTCATTAAACTCTCAGCCGAAAGTCAAGGACTATCCGCGCGCCGTGCTGTGCATGGGATCCGAATTGAAGCACTAACCTTGTCGCGTGCCTCAACTCGCGCAAGGGCTACCGTAGCCTCGCGGTTTGACTGAAAACCCAAGGAGGATAGATTGAAATACCTTATTGGAATTGCGGCAGAGTCGTCCCGCTCTCCTTCTCAGGATGTTGGTATCCATCACCGGTACTAATCAAATTTAATAGTGCTGGGGCCGTTTTGGGATCCGCTATCCGGAGGTAGATACGCCTGTGCGGGTATTATGATTAGTAGCTTTGAAACCAGGCCGGTTGCCGGCCTTTCATTAAAGAACTGAAGAAGATAGAGGCGCGTATGTGGAAGGACCTCTTCATTTAGACGGAAGGAAGGTTTGTCGGAAAAGGGTTGGTAACGATTCCTGGTATAGTAGTAGCCCTTTAAGGGTTGTGTTATGTAACTTAGATACGATTTTACTCTGGGAAAGTTTATTTCAAACCACCAATGAAGAGTCACGATAGGACACTCAAACACTGAAGATTGGCTACTTGGGGCTTTCTCGCTTTCTTTCTTTTTTTGTTTTTACGGTGAATAACCTGACTATGGCAAAAATGATGGAGGCGAACATCTTGTCAAATCTGCCGATGTGTTGCGGGTCCACATATTCTTGACACGGGCTATGGGGTGATTGATAAAATCCCTG